CATTGGTGGATCTCCTACTACCTCAAATGTATTCACTCATTCCTCATGGGCCACTCAGTTTACACATGGGTAGAATTAAGTGATATACATCAAGCCCCCTCTACGGAACTTTTCCGATATCTCCAGATCAAACATTGGGTAAATTTGGTCCTTACTGACAAAAGACCCGACCACACCATTATCCTTGTTCGAACACATATGCCACCGGACGCCTCTCTCTCTCCTAAACTTAGCTCTATTCTGTCTGTACTCACAATTAACTAACTTACAGAACCCCAACAATCACGCTTACGTTTTCCAGATGGCAAAGAGACCTTAAAGGCACTAAAGATCATGCATGTCAGTCACAGATATGGTTAACTTTGATCTCATGTTCTTCTACCAACGTCTTCACTATGGAATTGGCTTTCAAAATTGTGACAAGATGGTATCTTGTCCCATCCCACTTAGCATTTCTTCACCCATCCACCCCAATATCTGCTTCCGAGGCTGTAACACACCGGGCGATGTTCTACATATATGGTAGACATGCCCTATGCTTTCCAGATTTTGGTCTAAGGTCCTCACACTACTCCAATCACTACTTACTCCTTTCTGAGAGACCCTTGGTATACTCTCTTACACTTAAAACCTCCGGGCATGTCTAAACACTAATTTAAGCTAGCCACCCATGTACCGTACTCTTGGCGGCCAAACAAACCATAGTGAAAGCCTGGAAACAGCAGTTTGTATCCTTTACAGAAGTTCACCGCCACCTTGACCTCTTTTTAATAAACGAGAAACTGTCTAGCATACTCTCCACGAGACGCCCGTGAGAGATTCCTCAAAACTTGGACTCCATGGATCCAACAGGTCCATCCCGAGATTTCAGTGAACAACTTCACCTCACTATAACTTTTTAAAACTTTCCAAATTGAACTCAAGCATTTTGGATATCTATCCTCTCCAATTTGCTTCTACTTCTCCTCTTTCTTCTTTTGATCTGTTTTTTGGCTCTTCCATGGGGATGTCCTACAACCTGTGAGATGTCCTACACATCTTCTTAGTTTGATGGCATATTAGTATATCTTAAATATTTTATACCCTTTGACCAGTGTCAGCGGTTAAGCTACAGACAGACAACCCTTTCTGGGCGTTGACTAACTAACCGACACAATAATGTATGTTCTATTTCTACTTTTTGACGTGTTGTTTAGAATGTTACCTATTCTAATTACGTTCCACTTCTATATGACCACTGTTGACTGCAGTTTATAGTTGCGATTCTGTTTTTGTACTATAGAATGGTTCAAATTGTACTTTGAAATACAAAAAAAATGTAAAATTATTGAAAGGAAAGCTCTATTTGTGTGAAAACAATTATAACAAATTCATATGGGTACAGTGTAGCATGACTGCACAATTGTCATTCAAAGTGCAACAGCGCTGAAAGCTGAAAATTGGTATGGGTAGGAAGGAGGTAAAAGTGCCCAGTAGGCAAGTGGTTAATGTGAAAGGCTCCATATACAGCATGCTTTCATTGAAAAAGGTGTCCTACATATAAGGTCTGGAGAACTTTCTTGAAATAGGGTTTGCACATATACTGTATAACAGCTTAGACACATCCTTAGGAATTAAATATACAATTTTTACTGGCACACTTGAGTTGCTGGTGGTCATGGGTTGCAGCTTTGGACTGTGTATGATAAAAGCTGAAATCCCATTAGTTGAATATGAAATACATACCAATACAAACCTGGAACCTGTTTTACCTGCCAAAGGATTTGTATTTTTGGCCATAATTAGCAACAACTAAAAAGATTATTGGCAAATGGCATTGGACATGGAGCAATGCACCTTCACATGGCAGGTCAATCAGATACAGCTCAAGGAACCCCTAGCAACCTCTGGAGGAACCCTGGCTTAGAATAGCTGACCTAGATCAACACCTTCCACGATTATTTTATGCTTGGAATCATGAATGGTTACATTTTGTAGCCAAGTGTGAGAAATATTCAAATACAAGACAAAGGCATTGGGCTAAACAGGGACATATACAATATGCTGCTGTATTTCTGATGACTTCTTAAAAGCATCAAAACAACCAGATATTCTCATTATCTTTCTTTCTTTTTATATTGCAGATGAACCAGAGAAATCAAACCCATTCAGGCATGAAAAGCACCAAGATGGCCAGTAAATGGAGCTCAGAATGCACTCCTATCATCTACCTCCTTCAATTGTGTGAGCAGAATAAAGTCTTACAAACCTATGAATAGTGATAGGTCAAAACACCCCCCCCCCCCCCATTTGGTTCGCAGTCGAATATTCGAACCTAACAAAAGTTCAACTGCAAACTTCGAATCAGATTACAAATAATTGGCATTCACTAAAAAATGCTACTAAAATAGGGCATGAGTTATTTTAATAAGTCATGCAGTATTTTAGTAGTGAAAACATTATTTAATGTTTCAGCTGTCAGTGGGGTTCCCTGCTGACAGCTGAATGTAAAAAGAATGGTGTGGGCACCTCCCCCCATTCAAATCCGACCCTTATCCGAGCATGCAGCCCGGCAGGTCAGGAAAGGAGGGGGGCAAGTGAGCACTCCCCCCTCCTTAACCATACCAGGCCACATGCCCTCAACATGGGGGGGTGCTTTGGGGCAGGGGGGCTCCTCCCCAAACCACCTTGTCCCCATGTTGATGAGAACAAGGGCCTCCTGGTCTGTGGTTGTGCGGTCTCTGGGCAGGGGGCTTATCGAAATCTGGGCCCCCAGATCCCGCCCCCCCCCATGTGAATGAGTATGGGGCACAAGGTACCACTACTCATTCACAAAAAAAAAAAACTGTAGTGTATAAAATGACAGACCATCTTTGACAAGTCCTTTTATTAAAACAACAAAAAGTTTTTAAAAATATCCCCCGAAGTAGATCCAATGTCAATCACGATGCCCGTCTCCACCACAGACCTGAGGAAAAAAAAAGGCTCCATTCTCACTGCTCCTTCCTTCTGCCAGCCTGAGAGTTTTTAAATATCTAAGGAGCGGGGACACCTGGTGACGTCAATTGGGTGACCCCACCCCCTTGTGACATCGTTGGCCCAGCTGGCCACAGTCGATGGCGTCACAAGGGGGCGGGTACATTTGTGCTATGACTGGCCAATGCATTGGTCAGGTGCATTGCTTTGACCAATCACAATGCACTGTCAGAGACAGTGCATTGTGGGGCGCAGCAGGCGAACAGCCTGCTAAATGCCCTTACCGTTTGTGTGTTCGCCGAACACACGAACGGCCAATGTTCAAGTGGAACTTACGTTCGACTCGAACATCAAGCCCATCACTACCTCTGAACATAAATTAAGAAGTGTTGAAGATGAAATGTCAAGCACTGTGTCCATGCAGAAGTGAAACAGCAAGATGGAGGACACCAAAAAACATTCAAAGCCAAAGTTACCAGCAAAAGTCCTAAAATAAAAAAAGAATGGAAATCGGAAAAGATGAGCAAGTAAGAGCAGCCATCTAAACTGAAAGACAAGCCTACCCTTCCAACCTGTGCCAGCCCCAACCAAGACTACCCAGTTCTGGCTCACTCTATGGTCCAGAGGAGAAATGGAATTTCCCAGTTTTGTCACTGGATGCACTGCAAACCCTGGTTTTTTGGGGCAAATTATCCAGATTTAGTATCCATCCAGGTTGGCATGAACCAGTTTCAGACTTCATTCTATATGTTTTTTTTGTATAAAAAATCAAATACCTACAGAATTTCTCAGCAAGTCTACATAAATACATTTCTGACAAGTTGGAACATTCATCAACAGTATCATTTTTCAAACAAGTTCCACTTTTTAGTATTAAAAAGTTGTCCTTAAGCTCCAGCCTGTGACTAGGTTGAGATGACGTCCTCAGTCTGCTGCAGGCAGGAGGAAGCATTTTCTCACTCTCCGCTCCCCTTTCCCCCGTGATTAGACGGCACCATTGTAACTTTGCAGCAAGTCACAAGGTGAGAGGCTGCAGCAGAGGCTGATCTGGGTCAGACATTTGTGAACATAGCCAAGACCTGCACAAGCACCAGGATTTACATGATCATGTCATCTGAGTCCAGAAAGAAGATGGTGAGGCCTGAACAAAAATGTCTCTGTTCTTCTGGAAAGAAAAGCATAAAGGATAAATAACTCTTTACTTGTAATGACTCCTTCCTTGTCTTGCATGAATTTACCATGGAAGTATATATCTGAACACTAGGTCCATTTTTTAAAAGCAATGTGGTTTTATATATACTGTATTTGGTTTCTTTATTTTCATTCAGCAGGTGGAGCTTTTATTTTCACATTTTTCCAGGCTCTTCTTATCTGCTTTGGAAAAAAAATCCTTACTTTACAGAGCTAAAAAACACAAGCTGATTTTTACACGCTAAACTGAATAAAGCCGGACATATACGGGTCGAATTCCTAAAGAATTTTCTTTCGAAAATCTTTTCTAAGAAGTTTCTTTCAAATTTTGCATCATTAGTGGGCCACAGCAACGGTCGATTTCCAAGCGCGCCCATCCAATTTGAGTGATCGGGCATATTGGAAATTTTTTGAAAAACAAATTTCTAATCAATGATGGGAGAATCGAAAAAAAGAAATGAACGTGAGCTGTGACCTGGAAAGAAAATTATTGGCTACGAATATTGTTTTCTGTAGCAACATGAGGTGAAATTGAAGGCTTGGTTGGTCGAATTTTGAAATCAATGGCGCCATCGGATTTCAAAATGCACAAAATTTCTGATTTTTTATAAAGAAAATTTTTGGAATTCGACCCTTGTATGGCCTGCATAAGTCAAAGCATTGACTCCTCCCACCTGTCTGATCCGTTCAGACTGCTGTGTATAAGGTGAGAGTCTGAAGGTAAGCAGCCCCTGCTGTGTTCTCTATTATCTACGGTTCTTTTGTTTTTTTTTATATTTTTAACTTTTAAGTGTTTTTGTATGAATCCCTTTTTTTAGAAAAACATTTAAAGCCTAACTACAGGCATTGCAAAAAAAAAAAAAAAATGCCTATTGAAAAGGAACTTCAGTTTTTATTTTTATTTTTTTAAAGGTCAGTTACTGTAGCTGCTGACTTTTCAAATTCAGGTAATTAGCATTGCCTATGTCCCTCGTCTTCCTGTAGCCAATTCCTTCATATTGCCAGGCCCCTGGCACCCCCATCATAGCTATGGGAGTCAGCTGTGGCTTCCTGAGAAACCATTGCCACATGTGCGAGTTTGCGTGGTGCACTCTCAATGGTCCTGCAGCCTCCTGGGACACATCACAGGATGCTGCAGGACCATTGAGAGTGCACCACGCAAACTATGGGAGGGCAGGGGGTGAGGCAAGAGGCATTTGCCTTGACTAGGCAAGGATTGCAGAAGTGGGAGTGGGTACTGATGCTCTAGGACAGGGGTGTCAAACTGGCGGCCCTCCAGCTGTTGTGAAACTACAAGTTCCATCATGCCTATGGAAGTCACGCTTGTAGCTGTCAGTCTTGCAGTGCCTCATGGGACTTGTAGTTTGGCAATAACTGGAGGGCTGCCAGTTTGATACCCGTGCAGAACCCCTGACCTCTGCCTGGACAGTGCTGATCCCATGCATTCTCTAGCAATACACACCAAACTGAGCATGTGCAGAGTGACTCCACACAATGTTTTATCAGGAGATAAGAGGGGGGCACTGGAAGAAAGGGGGGGATCAGAGAAGACAGGATCAAACAGGCTTTTTACACAATGCAGGATTAACCCCTTTAGGTTCCACAGTGAGTATAACAAGCATGCTTTACTGCATCTACAGACTGATTGTACTGTTGTGTAGGTTTAGTAACACTTTAAGTATTTTTTTTAATGTGTTTTGTATGATTCCGTTACTAAAAAGAGCCATTTGAAGATATGTCCTCCTGGTGAATGGTTAATCAGCACATTGAAATGACCGTCAGTGTTCCAGTTGGTCACACAGTTAACTTTATGAATGTTACTATTTTTAAATTTTCAAATAAAAAAAGGTGCTATAAAAATTTCAATCCTCTAATCTGCCTATTTATCTATGATACATATGGGAGATAATGCTCCCCATTTCTTTGTGGTCCTACTATTGGATGAGAAGTAAGGTATGGCCATCGGCGATATGGTTATAAGAATGCCAAAAACTCTGGGGAGGGATCTACATGGAATTCCCATAACATCACTTAACTACCATATTTGGTATTGATAGAAATATTGTCAACGATACAGACCCCTTCAGAGCAAACCCCTAACCCTTAGCACAGCTTTTACAGCCTATGTTCTACATGCAGGGGTCTCCAAACTATGGCCCTCCAGGTGTTGAGGAACTGCAAGTCCCATGAGACCTTGCAAGACTCTAACAGCCACAGGCAAGACTCCCAGAGGCAGAGGCATGATGGGACTTGTAGGACTTCAACAGTAGGAGGGCCATAGTTTGGAGACCCCCCCGTTCTACTGGCCTGTACTGCTGGCTAAATCCACCCCCCAAGGTTTGTAGAACTGGTTCTGGCTCTCTGCATATGCTCTGCTCTGCCTTTAGCCATTTTGGAGGTCATGTGATGGGATACAATTCACCATACTCTATTTTTGACCTTCAGTCCATACATCTGCTTTTTCTTCAGATGATTATTTATATTAAGTGGAAATCTTTTGCTGAATCTCGCACACCCCGGTCATCTACAGTTCACCATGGTCTACTGTTGTTTGCCATTACCTTTCTAGATCTTTCAAAACGAAAAATTTCTAATGGTCTTTCTAGGCACAAAAACTCGGTACACAAAAGGTAAAACCTTAACATATCACTTTAAAACATATCTTGTATGTCATTTAAAAAAAAAAAAAAAGACGACATTGCGCACTTGAAACCCAGCTGATCCCCCACAACCAACCAACCATAAACGACTGATTCCAAAAAGAAGTTGAGTGACGATAGCACAGATAGTAGAATTCTTTTAGAAGGTGGGGAGTATTCAAGCGTGTAGGGACGGTTATATGGTCAGAATTAGAAAGATTACACTGTTCAACAAATTTTTATTTTTTGCCAGTTTTGGAAACAAAAGGATCCATTTCTTAATGAATTTCACATTCTGAGTTCAAATATAAACAATGAAATTTGTCAATTGGCTCTAGTTTTTCTGTAAACGGAAAGTTTTCTACTAGGTGTAATGACTACATAATGCACAATAATTATATAGATAGATGTCTTTCCACAAATATAAAGCAAGTGATATTGACTACATAACAAAGCCTAAATGGCATAATATATATTGCATAGGATTACCAAGAAAAAATTATAGCCATAAGCTAAGTTGAATCATTTTAATACTTAGGATTCTCACTAGTTTTGTCTTCAGTTTGTGTTGGTTTTGCTTCTCTTGGCTTTTCTCTTGTATTCGAGGAAAGGGCTATCTCTTACAACTGCACGTGACTACACGCTTCAGGTTCTTCCTCACTTGACTCAACTACGAAGGATTCTGGTGCTTTAGGAATTGGTAGCCCCTCTCCATGAGGAACTGGACGTATTGCCGATGGAATATTTGGATAGTGCACAGATAACTTTTTCTTCTTATTTAGCCCTTTTACAATTGGAGGCACCATACAAAAGTAACAATTACTAACATGATCTGTTGGCTCTCTCCAAATCATTGGCACAGCAAAAGGCATAGATGCCTTTTTTTCCATTCAACCATTGCTCCAGTGCCGTCCCACAAGAATTGCAGCATATATGTGGTGCCCAGCTCTTGTCCTGGTCTCCTATCTTGCAGCCAAAATACAAGTTGTAGGCTTTCTTAATCATTCCTGTTATCCTCCTTTTTTGTGAGATAAAAGTTATTTCACCGCAGATATAGCAGAAATTATCTGCTTTATTCACACAAGTTCGAGGCATTACTGAGTAGCCTATATAAGCATAAAACGAAATGTAAAGACGAACTACAATCAGCTACAGATACTGCAGCTTTTATGCAGTGAAGTGATGCAATTAAAGGCTAATATTGCATCATCTCAGTATACATGCAATTTTCTATTGGTCACCAGTATCAATTGCGCAATATGCAGCTGAAGTTGCATCATAATTTTGATGGCTTACGTCATTAGATGGTTGAATATATCATGGAAACTAGAGCCATTCAACATTTTTTAGGGTCATTTTCGTTTTCAGCACCCCAAAATTATGTAAGATTAGCTAATTTTATGCCCAAAACCTTTTACCTGTTGAACAGTGTTATCAGTCTCCTCAGTAAGTTTTTAAAAATTACATACAAGATACGTTTTAAAGTGATATGTTAAAAAAGCAAAATTAGTTTTATCTTTTGTGCCTAGAAAGTCCACTAGAAATTTTTGTTTTCAATCTCTATTAATAGGGATGTGGCACTATGGTATGGGTTGTGGTATGACCTTCTACCACCCGATGGTTCCCCCATTTTTCTCTTTCAATATATATTTCTAGATCTTTCACCTGTGCAGAGGGATCACTTGAGGGTCCTTTTGCCTTTGCAACACCAGAGGATTACTATCAAGGTTTTATTTTAACTGACATATGGTTATAAGTCTCTGCTGTGTTCCATTGCTCCCTGAAGAAGATTCAAAGTATGAACTGAAACGCATTGGGGTTAAAAAGTGTCTCCTGAATACAGTTGAAGTTATTCCCTTTGTCAGTTTTACTCGTGGATACCATATTGTCATGCCATGTAACAAGAATTTCTTTGACTTTTTAAGAATGGATTCAATAAAAATGTACTGCATTTTTCGCTTCATAAGACGCACCTGACCATAAGACGCACCTAGGTTTTAGAGGTGAAAAACGAGAAAAAAAAATTATTCTGAACCAATGGACTGCAGACACAGTACAGGGGATGACCAGAGACTGCGGACACAGTACAGGAGATGACCAGAGACTGCGGACATAGTACAGGAGATGACCAGAGACTGCGGACATAGTACAGGAGATGACCAGAGACTGCGGACATAGTACAGGAGATGACCAGAGACTGCGGACATAGTACAGGAGATGACCAGAGACTGCGGACATAGTACAGGAGATGACCAGAGACTGCGGACAAAGTACAGGGGATGACCAGAGACTGCGGACATAGTACAGGAGATGACCAGAGACTGCGGACAAAGTACAGGGGATGACCAAGAGACTGCGGACACAGTACAGGGGATGACCAGAGACTGCGGACACAGTGCAGGAGATGACCAGAGACTGCGGACACAGTACAGGGGATGACCAAGAGACTGCGGACACAGTGCAGGAGATGACCAGAGACTGCGGACACAGTGCAGGAGATGACCAGAGACTGCGGACACAGTGCAGGAGATGACCAGAGACTGCGGACACAGTGCAGGAGATGACCAGAGACTGCGGACACAGTGCAGGAGATGACCAGAGACTGCGGACACAGTGCAGGAGATGACCAGAGACTGCGGGCACAGTGCAGGAGATGACCAGAGACTGCGGGCACAGTGCAGGAGATGACCAGAGACTGCGGACAGTGCAGGGGATGACCAGAGACTGCGGACAGTGCAGGGGATGACCAGAGACTGCGGACAGTGCAGGGGATGACCAGAGACTGCAGACAGTGCAGGGAATGACCAGAGACTGCAGACAGTGCAGGGAATGACCAGAGACTGCTGACCTTTGGGGAGGGAGGGGGAGCGGGTACCTGAATTTGACAGGTACCCGCTCCCACTTCCGCGGAGTTGCCTTCCCTCTTCTTCCCGGGCCGGCTTCTGTGACAGCCGGGTGCCCACTGCGCATGTGCGAGAAGCACTGCGCTTTGTGAATGGCCTGGCGCCTCCTGGGACCTTTCATGTGTCCCAGAAGACACCGGATCATTCACAAAGCGCAGCACATGCGCAGTGGGCACCCGGCTGTCACAGAAGCCAGCGCGGGAAGACTGTGCAGCGCTGGAGCGAGGAACAGGTAAGGCCCTGCAGGAGACAACAGCTAAGCGGTCGGCCCGGTATTCTGACATGGTGAACGCAAAAATACCGGACCGGCCGCTTTATATTCGCTCCATAAGACGCACTGACATTTTCCCCCCTTTTTTTGGGGGAAAAAAGTGCGTCTTATGGAGCGAAAAATACGGTAATTTTATAATAGTTGTTGTCAAACTTTGGTACTTGTAAAGTCCCTGTTTCAAAAATGTATGCCCGTTTGTGTATTGATCGGAACCATAGAGACATTTTGCTGGGTTGGGGAGCAACTTTATAGGAGAGGGCAAGCTGAGTGCTGCCTATTGTGGCAACATCACTAGTGGCAAGCAACAGAATCACAACGGTGACCTAAACCTAAGGTTCTGGCATCTGACTGATGAAAGGTTGAACTTAATCTGAGCCTAAAGGGTTACTCCACTGTAATGTAACAGTTTCCCTGTATGGCTCTCTCTGCAGCAGCTGAAAGCCAGCGGGAGGGAGAGGGAAGAAGCCAGCTTAGAGCTGCTGCAAGGAGAGCCATACAGGGGATCGGTTCCAGTAATTGCCTCTCCCCCCCTCTGCTGTGCCGATCACTCTCCCTGCCCACATCCAATTCACCCAGCTGCCTGGGCTCCTCTGCTGACCTGGGCCCCTTACAGGAGGACTGGTGGTACCCACTTATCCACAGCCCTGTTCAAGACTGTCCTTGTTTGCTGCGGGGGGGGGGGGGGGGCAATGTGTGATCATCGTTCTCTTACTTCATCTCAAATATATTATGTTGCTAAAGGGTTAGTTCACCTGTGGAGCAAGCCTGGTTGAGAAACCCTGATCTAATTGGTGATAGCCTATTCTTCTTGATATACCGAAATTGTATTTCAAGCTTTTTTGTGATGGTTTTGTTTAGTTAAGAGGTCCCAATTTTTTTTTAAACAAAAGAAGTTTTATTGATGTGTATACATTATACAAATAAGGTTCATACAGCAAACATATAAAAACCATGAAAACAGTGAAAACGGTTTACATAAGGCAACACAGATACAGAGTATATTAATACTAAATGGTTAATGGATGAACTTTTGTCTTTTTTCAGCCAGACTAACTATGTAATACTGAGTAGGTACACTGAGAATCTATCATATATGTGAACAGAAATAGAAAAGTGATACAGTCTGTCCAGAAGGCTGTATTCAAGTTGGTTAGACCAGTGGTCTCCAAACTGTAGCCGAATGCAGCCCTCTGCTTGCTTGGGGTACTATTTCATCCACTGATACCAACAATTGGACATAATTCCCCCTATGACACCAATGAAGGGACACAACATGTCCCAATTACATCAATGATCACGCCCAATGACAACAGTAATGGGGGACAATTCCTCCTAATGACATCAACGATGGGGCCCAACGACAGTAATAATGGGTCACAATAACCTACTGATACCAAAGATGGGGCATTGTCTATTCCCACTGATATCAGGACCTTTTCTACTCCCAATAGCCAAAATTTGGCCCCCCCTAAATTCTGAAGGACAGTAAACTTGTCCTTTGTTTAGAAAGTTTGTAGACCCCTGGGTTAGACAATAATGGGATATCTCCACCAAAAACCCAGTAACAGCATCAGAAGTTGGAAGACATACATGTATGGTTAAAGTACGGAAAAGAGCCCAGTTCTGCAAGGCCGCATATTTGAGTGATGTCGGTATAAAGGGGTTAACAGAGCGCTGTTATGGATTAGTCAGGTCTGCTCATGACTCTCTTGAGTTCCACCTGCCTTCAGGAAGCTATGAGAGTCTTCCAGAACATAGGTAGGGGCTAGGCAAATGAGCACCATGAATATGGATACAGTCCTGGCCAATTGCAGGGCAGGGTGGCCCTATTGCATGCTGGGAGTGGTATTTATGTTTTGTGAGAACATGGGTTCAGGATCTTCCCCAGGAGAGGATTGCACCAAGCAAGGCTGGAGGCAGGCTGCCTCGCCTGGCACTGGCTGCCATGCGGCCTCAGGTGGGTCGACCTGAGGGTCTGACATTAGAGAGAGTGACCCTGGTTTTAGAGTAAGACAACTGAGGGGAGCTGCCCGCCAAAGATCTCTCTGGTATCACTGGAGAGAGAGTCACTTGTAAGACTGGAAGGAATGTGTTCCGTCACATTCTTGTGACGGCACATGGCGCCCGACCCCTGCCCTTCTCACCAACTTTTGACCGAAGGACCAGCCGATCTCGCACCGCGCTGTCACTTGCGTAACAATGCCACGCTCAGCTGCACCCTGCACAAAGATTTTCAAGCTCGCGGGACTACAATGTGCCAGCAGCCTGAGAGCGATTGTTACTGGACCAGGTTAATTACGCAATTAACCCTTCACACTGCCACCACCACCTTTTTACAGAGGAGGAAACTCACAAATCTTAGCAGTAACACTATGATATTAGCATAAGCGTCTGTAACACACACTGTCACCACAGACATGTTCAGAGGATTATTACATATAGTAGCACTCTTCAAGAGACAGGGAATCTTTAGTTTGCATTAGAAGCTTTAGAGACAGTTTCAACACTTTTCAAAAAATAGGATTTATTATTAAAAAGGTCAAAATGGTACAATTAAAATATTTACAGAAAAATGGATCTACTTCGGGGACATTTTTTTATTTTTAATAAAGGAATTGTCAAAGATTGTCTCCTGTCCTTTTTTACACTACACTTTTTTTTTGTGAATGGGTAGCAGTACCATGTACAGCACATGGGGAGGGGGCCGGGATCTGAGGGCCCCCTTGTTAAAGGGGGCTTCCAGATTCCGATAAGCTGCCCACACGTAGACCCCCACAACCACCATCCAGGGTTGTGTGGAAGAGGCACACCGTCCCAATGCTGAGGGCACGGCCTGTTAAAACCCAGTGAGGGGGGGGGCTGGCGGCCCCCTTTAATGGCCTGCCAGGCCTGTGCTTGGATCAAGAGTCTGGTAGGAATTTAGGGGGGACCCCACACTTTCCCCCCCATTTTTGTGGGGTGGGGTTCCCACTAAATGTCCTACCAGGTCTAAAGGGTCTGGTATGACTTGTAGGGGGAACACCATGCACTTAAAAATGTTTTATTTTTACTGTGGGGTCCCTTCTAACCTTCCTACGAGAAAGGGTCTGGTATAGCTTGGGGTGGAGACCTCAAACTGCTTTTTGTTTTTTATAAAAAATGTCAGTCTTGCTGCAGAAGGTTCTATACATTCCATAAGCCCCATATCAGTTTTATGGCCAATACCTTGCATATAAGCATTAGGTTTGATGTTGGCAGTAGAACTTTCTTTAGGTTCGAATGTCCTACCACGAACCGAACATGGGGGTGTTCAGACCATCATTACTTGTTGCTACGCTTTCAGCCAGGACTTCCAGCAGCACTCAGCTAAGAGATTCAGATGTCCTCAGTGCAAATAGTTCTAATTCTGGAGTATCCTACAAAAACACTCCAAAAACAAACTTCCCCTAGACTGGTCATCGAAGACAACGATCGGAAGAGTGTGTGTACCTAGCTGTGGAAAATACTTTGTGCCTGGCTGCGAGGCAAAGTGAGACCTGGGCAAAAATACAAGTAGCTCCTCGGGGGTAGCGCTACAAATGTCGTACATCCAAGGAGCTTTCATGGTGGGGGAGGAGGGGCTTTCTTAACTAAGCACACCCTCCTGTCTGCATGCCTGAGCTAAGGGCAGATGGATTCCAGGAAGTAAATGCTACATGAATCATCTGCCCTTACTCAAGATGGCCACTGCCAGAAATGCTAGGGGGGTGTTTTTCAAAGTGATTACTTGGATGGATGGGGGGGGGGATTGCTTTCAATATTAAAAATGAATTTTATAGAGTTTTCAGTTTGTAGCGCCACTTTAGGTCCGAACTCCCGAATCCATAGGATGTCTCATACAGGTGAAACTCGAAAAATTAGAATATCGTGCAAAAGTTAATTTATTTCAGTGCAGCAACTTAAAAGGTGAAACTAATATATGAGACTCATTACATGCAAAGCAAGATAGTTCAAGCCGTGATTTGTCATCATTGTGATGATTATGGCTTACAGCTCATGAAAACCCCAAATCCACAATCTCAGAAAATGAGAATATTGTGAA